GTCCTAAGTCATAAAAATGAAGTCTTAATGATTAGTTTTGCTCCATACATCTTGTAGAAGGTCTTAATGGACTAAGACCCTTGTGTTAAGTACTTAATGGTCATGTAAAGTCATAAAGTTGGAAACTTTATGAATCTAGAGTGTATTTGAGCCTTGGATCTAAATTTGGACGTAAGTGATTAAGTCGTTGGATTATTATCCTGGTTTATCGCATGTTGGTATGCTTAATTGATATGTTAGATTTGTATCCTGTTAGATAGGATGATGTTATGATTAATGATTTGTAAGATATGTCTGATTGTCTGTTGACTGGTTATATGTATGCTTATCTGTTATGTATATGTCGACATGGTTTATGTGTGGTTGGGTTGAGGCGGACCAGTGTAGATTGAAGGCCAAGAGACCCAGGGCGTCCTAGACAGACTGTAGGTTGGTCAGGCGTACTAGTCAGGCCGAAGGCCCGGAGAACGTTTTAGATAGACTGAAGGCCTGGTGAGGCTTACCAATCATGTTGAAGGTTTTGTGAGCGTACCATATAGACTGTAGGCCGGTGGAGCGTTCCAGTCAGGCTAAAGGCTCTATATGTATGTTGTCTGTATTTATGCTTATGTTATGTGTTGGTACTTTGGGGGGATTTCACTAAGTGTTGGCTTACAATTTTGGGTTATGTTTCAGCTACTTCGAATGATCATGGGAAGGCGAAGGCGTGACTGCACACATCCTCATGAATTAACTTATGATTTTGGGAGACTCTAATATTGAACATGTTTTAAAAACTATGTTTGTAAACAATTTGTGAATTGGTTGGTTTTAAAAAGTTTAATTTTATCATGATTTTTATGGGTGTTACAATCTTTTTGATGTAAACAGGTTTGACTTGTGCCACTTTTACCCTTGATAGAGTTCCAACTTTCATTCATCAATCTGAATCTTTATATGCTTTCTCTGTTTCTCATATTTTAGGAGTTTTGATCTGATTGCAAGTGTTGGTCATCATTTATCTGTTGTGACTTCAGTATAACTTATTGGACATGGGAGCAAACTTATTAGTTGTACTTCTAATAGGTGACTTTCTAATTTCTACTGTGTATTATACCTTATAATTTTTTGGAGTGTTTTACTTCTGAACTGTTTGAACTACTTATGATTATTTCGACTCAATTCTGAACCATCTGAACATTTTTTTTGGAGATTTGAAAACGATGATATATTTTGGATTTCCTGATGTGAATAAGTGATGTGATGAATTTTAATGCTTATTGTGTTTATCCTGCAATTTTTATTTGCAGCTTCTATTGAAGCAAAGACTAAAGAGTAAATTACACGAATGGTCCCTATGGTTTGGGGTAATTTGCATGTTTGGTCCCTAACTTATTTTTTTAACTCGGAAGGTCCCTACTGTTTGTTTTTGTTACGCGTTTGGTCCCTATCTTACATAAAAAGACTATTATACCCTTGATTTTTTTAATTTATTTAAATAAACACTCCCCTAATCCCACCCCCTCACATTACCTCACCTACCCCATCATTTTTTCCTCTTTAAATAATAGTCTTTTTAGATAAGATAGGGACCAAACGCGTAACAAAAATAAACAGTAGGGATCAAACGCGTAACAAAAACAAACCATAGGGACCTTCCGAGTTAAAAAAATAAGTTAGGGACCAAACATGCAAATTACCCCAAACCATAGGGACCATTCGTGTAATTTACTCAAGACTAAATGATGCCATATGTTTACAATGAAGTCATATTTAATGATGACAAAATGTCGAAATATGTGTAGAATCTCAAATTTTGCTATGCTACGATTTAAGATTATGTTTATGGTTCAAGTCACTTTCATGGCTAATATGTGAATTTGCTTTGCTACAAATGTAGTTTATGTAAATTGGATTAGGTTTTTTGATTACTTACATGTATCTTTTCTTCGGGTAAAGACATAGATGATGATGACATAAAAATATTTTCTTAGACTTCTGAAAAGCCCATCTGATCCTTAGTGAGAATGTTTGGGTCAAGGTTGTAACTTTCATGACCCACCATGATGTTTGTGGCCCTGGTGTTATAAGAGTCTTAAAGAAAGAATTTGGTAGATGTTTTACATTATAATCTATCTTATTTAATTTTATTTATGAGTAACATAACTCATGTGTATATGAAATTGAAACGAATGAGATTATATACTTTTGGTAGATGTTTTACATTATCATATAATACAAAGTAATAAATGTTTTTTTTTTATCAACTTAATATAAGAATAATTATATCAAAGTTAACCACAACATCATTGTTATATTTAAAAAACTTATATTTATAAAGATTTCAACTATATAGTTGTATTATACACAAAAGATTATAATATTCGCATAGTCAATAAATGAACTAATCCAACTATTATTTTAATAACATTTTATTATCAAATAAGCTGGTAAGTCCTATTATCAAATCTATATCTATATATCTTATAATAGAAACATTTTTCAAAGCACCACATTGATTTGAAACTCCTTTGTCTTTTCATATTTTTCAAATGATTATATTTCTAAGCCACATTGATTTGAAACTCCTTTGTCTTTTCATATTCTCAAATGACTTTTCAAATGTCTTCTACGTAATTGATTTAGCATTAAACACCAAACATGTTATATAAACTCTTACATATAAGAAGGATATCATAAGAAAATGAAAAGAAAAAATTTCAATAGGAATAATTCTCTTAGAACGTATTTGAAGTGATTAAGTCCCTAAAAGAGCTCTACAAGTCAAGGTTGTGGATGAATGTATCATCTTTTACTCATAGCTTGATCATGTTATATTTTTTTTCCAGTAGTATAAATGATATCATTCAAAATCATATGTTTAGAGATTTTTTGTTTTCTCAAACCATACCATTCAAAATCATATGTTTAGAGATATTTTGTTTTCTCAAACCATATTGATTTGAAACCTACATAACTTTTTATCTTCATTAATTAATACCAATTATAATATTTATAAATTTCCAATATTTTTTTGCATTCTGTTATTATATATGTAGTTATATTAGTACATTTTTCTTACAAAAAGTCGTCATTTAGTTGGAGATATTGTGATTCAAAAATGTTCATATAGTTGAAGCATTCATGATCCAAATATGATGATTTGAAGAAATGAGTTATGTCGTATTGATGCTAATTGTAATATGATTTTTTTTTTCTTTGAACAAAAACAAATGAAGCTTTTCTTTCTTTCTTTATATTCAGTTTCTTATTTGATCTTTATATATGATTTGTGTGTATTACTCAAGATTGAATGTCTCTCTAAACATCAATGTTTTGCTTGGAATATCTTTCTGATTATTCTTTTTAAAGAAAAAACATTTTGATTGCAGGTTAATCAAGATTTGTCATCAATTTTCTATAGTTAAATAGTATTAAATGAAGAAAGAAGATTCAAAAAAATGAATATAAGTTTTTTTGTTTGAGCAAAATAGACGAACATTAGTTTTTTTTTCTTTTAATTTCAATGCATACTAATGTAACATTTTTATTTATATAACGTTCTTATTTATTTGATTGTAGTTTTTCTATTTTGGTTATGTTTATTTTCTATTATTTTTTTAGGTTATTCTTCACAACATATTTACAAGTTAATATTTAAAAGATAACATAATTTTTAATATTTGATATGTAATTATGATGACTTATTATGCTATGTTCTTCATATGAAAGTAATTTATCTATAATACTACGACAAGATTTACATATGACATTTACAAATATATATATATATATATATATATATATATATATATATATATATATATATAAAATATGTGATTTGTTTAACATATATATATGCATTTGTGTATGTTATAAATTTATAATTAAATATATTTATGTTTAATAAATGAAGATATCAAAATGATGCATCAAAACCAAAATCAATAACAATAACAATAACAATAATAATAACAACTAGAAAGGTTACCCCCGCTACGCGGGGGTCAGAAACTTTCAATGTTGTTTCTGAATCGATAAATATAACAGACGTAGAAAGTGCAAGGATGAAAAGCTCGAGCTTTGCTCCGGACCGTTTTTTTATGAAAAAATATAAAAGTTTTGACTGTAAGGTTCAGAAGTGTCAAAATGGCTAAAGAATTAAATGGGTAGGAATTAACAACTTTTTCGAAAATGGATCAAAGTTGTCAAACCATTAAAGTTTTGTGACCAAACTTTAAATATTAAAAGGTTCCTAAAAAATGTAAAATTATTGATTGCAAGGACCAAAAATATCAAAATGGTCAAAGAATGAGGAGTAAAGTTGCCAAAAAAAATGACAAATTTACTATTCTTAAGATTCATTTCTTTAATATATAATAATAATAATAATAATAATAATAATAAATACACATTTTATGTATATTTATTAGTTACAACTCAAAAGTTTTTAACTTATAATTATTAATTAGTAATCAATAATAATTTTTTATTTTTCTTTATTCTATAAGGTTGTAAAGTTTTGCTTATTAAAAACATTAATGTATTTGAAAAGATTTATGATTTAAATATGAAGAGTTAATATAAATGTTTGTTTTAATGTTTTATGTTATTAAAAGTTGTAGTGTTTATTTTTCATATTTTTTTATTATTTGTTGTGTATATATCTTATTAATACAGATATTATAATAGATGTTTTTTTGTATTTTTATGTAACTAAAAGTTGTAGTTCATATTTTTTGTCAATACATTTTGTTATCCATTATATATAGATTATCATACGTTTGATATACAATTTACATAATTTTAAATGATTTATAAAATTATCAAATAATTATATATATATCACATCGATTTAAAAATTAAAACTATAATGTTTAATAAAACTAACATGCTAACAATATGGCTGCTTTACCACTAATATTTTATTTTAAAGTAAAAATATTAAATAATAAATTGATAAAAATTTATTATTTTAACTATACAATGGTTGTATTGTTGTACTAGTAATTTCATTCTTAAGGAACCACATAAACCAATTTTACGTTATTTATAATTTCATTCGTTTACCGTCCCAAATGGGCTATCATGGTCAAGTCTTGGGCTTTCCTGCGGTGCAAAACGCGTCGGCTTAAAATATGTGGCAGAATGCTATTGGTTGAGACAAGTGGAAGCGCTCTCTCATTGGTTACATTTTCTCAAGACCACGTCGCAAATATATTGACGCCTTGTGTATGTATAAACTCCGCCACTGCCGCGGTCCGAGATTTCGACCTCAAGGAGTGTCTGATCGCAGTATGATAGCCTGTGTGCATTACTGCTGTTGCTTGTGATTCTAGAGTCTCTTGTTTTCGGAGAATTTAGGAGTATATACCAGACCTTTGAGATTCTGATCGCGTAGGGTTTAATCTGCCCCAATCTCCTTAATGGCGCATTGCAGATCCAACTTCTTCTTCTTAATCTATTTATCAATCTTATTGATTGCTAATGCCGCGTATGTGCCATTTCTTTTCCTACATCTTTATGTTCCATTATATATTTAGGGTTCATCCTGTTTTAATTGATCGTTACAGAAAAAGTTATTATGATATACTGCAAGTTCCCAAGGGTGCTTCCGACGATCAGATTAAACGGTCCTATAGGAAGCTGGCCTTGAAATATCATCCCGACAAGAATCAAGGAAATGAGGACGCTAACAAGAAATTTGCTGAGATTAACAATGGTAAATGCCTCGTTTATGCATTGGATTTGTAAGTTGTGCGTTGCTTTTTATGTATTTTGGTTAATGTAAGCTTAACGTTTGTTTGGATTACTTTTAGCATACGAGGTGTTATCCAACAGTGAGAAGAGGAGTATCTACGATCGATATGGCGAAGAAGGTCTCAAACAACATGCTGCTGGTGGCGGTGGGGGCGGAGGAATGGATATTCAGGACATATTCAAATCGTAACATTTTTCACCCTGCCCTCAGTATATATTTTCATTTTCTGATTTTAATGTTGCTACTTGGTTGTGTAGATATCTATATCATAATGTATGGATTTGTCACCTGCCCTCAGTATATATTTTCATTTTCTGGTTTTTATGTTGTTACTTGGTTGTGTAGATATGCGTTATTTGAACATCCTGTGAAACAAAAGTCCTGTAAACTATATCATAATCTATGCATTAAGTAAACATGCTAGCTTTTTATAGGTCACTGAAAAATATCTTAGTTTAAATGCAACTTGCACAGACTTCATTTGGTGTTGGGAAGATTGGAAGACATAGTTTTATGGTGGTTGCCTGGTTGATGAGTTAACGTTCTATCTTGTAGAGTAAGCATTTTGTTTGGTGAACTAGCAGTACTAAAGATGTATTTTAATGATAGAGTAAGCATTTTGTGTAAACGGCTACAATGTTAGGAAATTAAATGAATAAATTTTTTTGGGTGGATACACTGTTTTGGTAAAGTTTGATAACAGCTTCTTGTTAATATAATAAAATATGGAGTTTACAATGAAGCAAGAACGCTGGTTTGCTGAATAAACACTTAACACTTGTTTAAAGGTTCAAACAAGCTTTTTCAGTAAGTATTAAAAACTGTAAATAAGAGTCAAACTGTTTTGGGCACTTTGTCATGGAGAGTTTGCTACTTCCTTGTTACTTGTTTAGAGACTTTCCTTATCAAGGATATTACTTCAGATCCTCAGTTTAGAAGCAATGAAGTGCAGAGTTTGAGGATTCACAACATCCTTACAGATTGACTAAATAGTCTAGTTATTGCTTAGAAGAATTTCTCTCAGCCCAGTTTCTAGGCTGGAAATCACACTTTTTGATTGCATGTAGTGACTGCTTGAGAGTTGTTTTGCAGGTTTTTTGGAGGTGGAGGAGACCGAGAAGAGGAGGAACGAGTGGCAAAGGGCGATGATGTAATTATTGACTTGGATGCAACCTTGGAGGATTTGTACATGGGAGGGTCACTAAAGGTAGGAAAACATGTGTTTTTTTTTTTTTTTTTTAATATTTGTCAAATGGTTTCTCAAAAAAATTCTTTTTACCATGTTTGTGTAAATCTAAATCAGGTTTGGAGGGAGAAGAACATTCTAAAGCCGGCTCCTGGTAAAAGACAGTGCAACTGTCGGAACGAGGTTTATCACAGGCAAATAGGTCCGGGAATGTTCCAACAAATGACAGAGCAGGTATAGTTGTCAAGATCATTATTATTATTATTATTATTATTATTATTATTATTATTATATCTCTCAAGGGTTTCATAATTTTCTCCCTTTTCCTGTTTCCTATGATTACTTATACATATATGCTCTGCTTTTTCTGATAATGTTGTTCAGGTGTGCGAGCAGTGCCCTAATGTAAAATATGAAAGGGAAGGGAACTTTATCACTGTGGATATTGAGAAGGGAATGCAAGATGGCCAAGTAAGCTTTGTGACTTATGTAAAAAATATGCAGCTACTGGGTTATGAAATTAACTGTTTAAAAATTGCTGTTTTTCTTGTCACAGGAAGTGGTCTTTTATGAAGAAGGTGAACCAATTGTAGACGGTGAACCTGGAGATCTGAGGGTTAGTAGGAATCATCATCACCATTATATTATTATTATTATTATTATTATTATTATTATTATCTAGCTGATGGTTGTGAATCTGAAAATTTGGGCAGTTCCGTATTCGTACAGCAACACATGAAAGGTTTAGAAGGGAAGGCAATAACCTTCACACAACTGCCACAATAACTTTGGTAATTTTTCTCTTAATAGTTTTTTCTTTTGTGAGATGATCTCTTACTTATGTTGTAATTTTTAGGCACAAGCACTTGTTGGGTTTGAAAAAACTGTTACACACCTTGATGAGCATCTAGTGGATATTGGCACGAAGGTATTATATTGAATGGATAATAATCCATCATAATCATAGCCATTATCTTATTTATTTAGTTGTTTTTTTTTGTTGTATGATTTAGGGAATTACAAAACCTAAGGAGGTGAGGAAATTGAAAGGTGAAGGAATGCCACTGCATTATAGCAATAAGAAGGGTGATTTGTATGTTACATTTGAGGTTCTTTTCCCTACATCACTAACAGATGAACAGAAGACAAAGATCAAAGCTATTCTTGGTTAGGTATTTTACATTATACATGTACGACAACATCATATCCAAACGTAAAATGAGTGGCAAGGCTTCTATAGATTATTTATTTAGATTTTTGTCATTAGCTTCTGGTTATCTTTTTATGCGTCCTACATATTTCAGGATGCAGGACCTCCTTGTAGGTTACAACTTCTTTATTAAATTCCCATTCTGTAAAATTGCAATATATTTTTCCTACTCTTTAGAATATATTCAGTTCACTTACTTCCTGATTTCACTTGGACATGGGATCCTAGAAATAAAAAACGTAGTAGCCTTGGGGGGTGTTTGACAATGAGTGTTTGAGTGTATTAGAGAGCTTTCTAGCTTTTGACAAAACATTTGGTTTAAACAAAAAACTTTGTTTGGAAGTATGTGATTTTAACTTTTACATAAACAAAACCTTCCAAATCTAAGAGTTATTTCATTTAAGTGTTTAAGAAAAAAAGTGTTAGAACTTTTTGAATCAATTTCCAAAATTGTCCTTAAAACATATTTTTGTATTTATCTGTTTTAAACAGTTGTCTTTTTATTAATTTTACATATTTCAAAAGTTTCTAGTTAATTTTACCAATCATTTGTCTAATAAATAAAAACTATAACTATCAATTAGTTTTACCAAACATGCTCAATTTGGGGTCACTTTGAGCTTCTTATTTTTGGCCAACAACGTTTTTATTTGTAAAATTTTGATAAGATTTGTTGCTCTAAACATATTCACACACATAATTATATTTACGGTTACTTCATTTGGGGTAACTTGTGCGGTTATATTGCGCTTCCTATTTTTGTTTTAAATTTATTGTTTATTTATAATTTTTACAAAATGAAAAGAAATCCCAAACCCACCCCCACCTACATCCATCTATCATTTGTAATCTTAGACATATCCCACTTCTTTTTCTTTTCTAAGTTCTTGGGCATAATTTTTATATTGCCGCCACCAGGATACCGTGATCACCTTTTATCCACCACGTTTTTCAATTTAAAGTTGTCGACCAACTCTCACCTCTCATGCTTTCATCCTTTTACTGTCAAACCATTTAAATCAAACCATAGAGATCAATAATTAGTGCAATCATCAGGATATTCCACCCAATATTCTCAGCTTAAGTCTAAATCATCCTGTCTAAGGCAAACTTAGTTCACTTAAACTAACACATTGACACCAACTTGTAATTAGGGATGAGCAAAAACCGAACTGACAACCGAAAAACCAAAAAAACCCCGACATAACTGAAACCGAAAAACCAAAACCAAAGCAATAACCGATGGTTTAGGTTTGAATTTTACAAAAACCGAAAAATAACGGATTTGTTTGGTTGACATATAAAACCGCCCATAAAAACCGAACCGACCCACGTATATATTATTGATTATGTTTTTAACTTTTTGTTTTAGACTTTAAACTTTATCCCTTTAGTAGGGGTGAGCAAACCCAAACCAAGAAACCGAAAAACCGACTAAAACCGATGAAACCGAAACCGAAGCAAAACCGACGGTTAGGGTTTGAAATTTTTTAAAACCGAAAAGTCGGGTTCGGGTTCGGTTTCGGTTTTTACCTAGAAACCGACCCATCCAACCCGAGAAACCGACCCATACTTAAAACCGACAAACCGACCCAAGAAAACCGACTCATACTTTCTTGTTTTTTTGGTTATAATAGACTATTTTAGGCTTTTGTTGTAACTTGTAATAGACTATTTGATTGTAAGACTCATGTTTATTTGAAGTATTTAACTTCAATTTGGTGTTTTTGAAGTATTTAACTTCTTGCTTCATTTTTGGAAAACGGGTTAAAACCCAAAAGCCATGGGTTTAAACCCATAACCCATGAGTGTATGGGTTGAACCCAAGAAACCGAAAAACCGACCAAACCGATCATAGAACCCAAGAAACCGAACCGATCAGAAACCGATCCTTTTGGGTTCTGAAAACCAGAAACCGAACATTTATGGGTTGGGTTGGGTTTGGGTCCAAAACTGACCCAAACCGACCCGTGCATAGCCCTACCCTTTAGTACTTTATGTTTATTTTCAACAAACTGGTAATGTTTTTAAACTTTGATCTTTTGAATACTTTTATGTTTTTAGAATACTAGAATTCGTACTATTTATTTTAGTATATTTGATGTAGATACAATACTATTTATCGCAACGTACTTTCATTGGGTTTGAACCAAAAAACTAGAAAACAAAACAAGAGCTGAGTAACCCACGGTTTAAAACCAAAAACCCATAAACTCAACCCGAAAAACCGAACCATGCAAAAACCGAACCTATATGAGTTTAAAAACCGAAAAACCGACTTTCTACGATTTGGTTTGGTTTTAGCCAAAAACCGACCCATGCTCATCCCTAGTTGTAAGGCCATAATTCTTGAAAGATATGAAATCTATTAAAAAAGATAGACAATGTCCCAAGGATCCAAAAACATTTAAAACTTTTATTATAATATCAAGAGTGTGCTTTGTCCAAAGCAAAGTATAGTTGGCTGGACAAGCCTACAAATACGGACATTACTTCAACATAATAGGGAAATCTCCAGAAAAGTTCTAAAATTTTGGTCTAATTTATGAAAAAATCCTAAACTAAATTTTATTTACAGAAAAGCACAAAATACCGGTTAAAACTTTGAAAAAACCATTTTCGGCCGATTTCGCAGATTTTGCTGGTATTCTATCATTTTTTGTTAGTTTGCTCAAAATTTTGGGACTTTTCCAAAATTTACATAATAACCAAAATATTTGGACTTTTTTGAAAATTACCATGAAATTAATGGATATTATTATTAACAAATCATTTATAAACATAAAAAAATATTTTTATTATAAAAAAGGAAATACATTTGTTGCTAATTTTTAGGAATAAATTGGTGATCTAAGTACTTTACTGTTTCCTGACCACTCAAACTCTCTACGTTCTTCCTATGCATTGTTGCAGGTATGAGGGTAAGATGAACCTAGTTAACATTCCTCTAATGTTGGTGTTTCTCTTATGCTGGTTAACCTAACTACAAACCAACATTCATACCTTACATGTTAACTATCGGCTAACACACATCTATAAAATGTGAAAAGTGAATCGTGAATGATAATTTATACGGAAACAAGTGAAGGGTTATTATCTATTTAAATTGTCATTCAAAGTTTAATTTTCACTCTATAGATGTGTGTAATTTTATGGTTGTTATCGGGTAATATTTGGAGGTTAGGTGGTAGTTAGGTTAAAGAACATAATGAAAGATCTATATGTTCGTGTAATGATATTTTCTAATAACACGTGATCATATAACATCATGCCTAATAGCAAGTAGACACTTATTGATTGTGTATTAATAAATATTATCAACTATTGTATTGGTCACACCTAACAGAGTACTTCTCACTATGACATCCACAATGATACATAGGAAGAACATAGAGACTTTGAAGTGGTCAACAAACAATAAAGAAGTAGATAGTCGACCATTCTATTCCTAGAAATTAGCAACAAATATATATCCTTTGTTTACAATTAAAAAAAATTATGTTTATAAATGATTAGTTAATAATAATATCCATTAATTCCATAGTATTTTCAAAAGTCCTAATATTTTGGTTATCGGGTAATTTTCAGAAAAAATCATAATATTTTGAGCAAACTAATGAAAAAGGACAGAATACCGGCTAAATCTACAAAACCGGCCGAAAAGGGTTTTTTCGAAGTTTTAGCCGGTATTCTGTGCTTTTCTATAAATAAAAATTAGTTCGAGACTTTTTCATAAATTAGACTAAAATTTTAGGATTTTTCTGGAGATTTCTCCAACATAATACTATCTTCCAACAAGTATCTACCTTCCTAAATGTTCATGTCTGACCTATGAAATCTTGCATTTACTCTTGTTAGTCTCCCCACACAATAGCTCCTGATCGTGGATTCACTTCAATTCGTTTTATAAAAAGGCCAGACTTTATGCCTGGTGAGCCGATGAGTTTATAAAATAATAAAATATTTGAAATTCGTAATAAACTCACATGCATAAATTTTGGTAATATAAAATATGGCATAACTTGTTATTTAAAAAAAACCAATTTCATTGTCAACCATTATCATGTTCCAACTAAATTAGTAGTATTGCACAAACTCATTTCCTCTCCATCCATATCCCTTGGCGAACTTTCCGTTAGCACAATTGGTGTATGAATAAGATAACACAAAGCAGTTTCAGTAACTGTTGGACTGATTCCAACATTCCCCATATCAGTGGGAGTGTAGGCACTGGAGTCATAATTGCATCCATGAATCTATGCATATCACTTGAGTCATAGCTCGCAACTATAATTCTGATATCATTCGTGATATCAAATGGGCGCAACTAATGTAGATTATTTCGCGTCAACAAAAATCTTCAATAGAATAACCATCTATCAGCAAACATTTATTGAGCATATCTCCTTGTAGTAGCCGGTGTAATCCCCATTTTTGTGAAAGTATATATATATATATATATATATATATATATATATATATATATATATATATATATATATATATATATATATATATATATATATATATATATATATATATATATATATATGTTCAGGTTCATATGAAACCATTCTAATTTTGTGAGACCGTAAGACCAAATCTAAAAATAATTTTAAAATGCAAAATAAATGGAAAAATCCAAATTTTTTTTTAAAATATTATTTTCGGAACTTGAATTAACTAAAAAATAAAATAAAATAAAAAAAATTCCGTTTTTTTTTTTTTTGAAAAATAAGTGAAATATTCTAATAGAATATTACACTGACATATTCTAGAAAATAATTTTAAAATGCAGAATAAATGGAAAAATCTAAAAATTCTTTTTTTAAATATTATTTTCGGAACTTAAATTAACTAAAAAAAAATAAAAAAAATAAAAAAATAAAAATAAATTTCATTTTTTTGAAAAATACGTGAAATATTCTAATAGAATATTACATGACATATTCTAAAAAATAATTTTAAAATGTAAAATAAATGGAAAAATCCAAAAATTCTTTTTTTAAATATTATTTTCGGAACTTGAATTAACTAAATTTTTTTTTTAAAAATTAAAAAAAAATAAAAAAAATAAAAAAATGCGTCTTACAGTCTCACAAAATTAGGTCGTCTCACATGAACCTAACCCTCTATATATATATATATATATATATATATATATATATATATATATATATATATATATATATATATATATATATATATATATATATATATATGGAAAATGACGTATAGGCCCTATAATGTTTCTAGGGTTGACCCATTTAGTCACTTA